GGTGCCTGGGTGGCTCAGTCAGTGAAGTGTCTGCCTTTGGCTCGGGTCATGATCCCAGGGTCCTGGGATTGAGCCCCACATTGAGCTCCTTGCTCAGCAGGGAGTCTGCTTCTCTCTCTCCCTCTGCCTCTCCCTCTGCTTTGCTCTCTCTCAAATAAATAAATAAAGCCCTAAAATAAAATAAAAATAAAAGACATGGAAGTAAGTTTAGAAATTTACTAATTGAATGACTCTTGGTGAGATAGGAAACTTGTTTTCTTTGTGAGCATAATGGGACTAAAAATTACTTATCAGCCTAGGGTAATTATGAAAATTCAATAAGAGCTTTGGTCTGTAAAGTCTGACACGGCCTGGTACATGACACTCAACAAAGCTGCGAAATAGGATTTGTGATTTTATACTCACCAAGAAGCCTTAATCATTAATTTCTAGATATCTTAATCATCTGAAACAGGATGCACAAAACAATGCTTAATCATTCTAGTAATCAAATGAGATAGCCCCATCATAAATTAAATTTCAGCATTTTCAAATGATGCTGGTTAGCATTAGTTTATCATCAAGAACCTAACATTTCTAGGAAGTCTGGAAATGCTCAGTTTCTGAGATTGCAGTTTAGGCTCTGGACCCACTTAAATAAACCTATTAGTGTTTGATGCCAACTGGTGAGGTTTCTTAGGAAGTAGTGGTGGCTGACATTTACTGAACTTTCACTATAGGCCAAGCACTCTGCCGAGTGTGTTACCTGCCATGTTGTCTGAGCCTCACAAATGACTCTTCAAGGTGGGTACAGTAGTTCTCCACTTAAAATGAAAAAACTGAAGCTTGGAGATGCTAGGCAGCTTGCCCTAGGGTTGCACACAGTTTGTTAGATGGCAGCACCAGAATCCGAGCCTCGGTCAGCCGGGGTTCTCGGCCTCTCTGCTGTACTGCCCAGGATTCAAAGGAGAGGGGACCTGGTTTCAGATCCAGTTCCACTTCCTTCCAGGAAGATGAGCTTAAACAAGTTATGTTTGCCTCTCCAAGCCTGAGATTGTTCCTCTGAAGCACAGTGTGGGTAACTCCCATGTAGGGCTTGCTTGGAGGATTAGATATAAGATATGTGAAGTGCCCATCACAGTTCCTGATACGTGATGGAAACTCAACAAGAGATAAGTGTAATTGTTTGGGGCTCTCTGCTTCCTACTTCCTCCTTGGCATGTGACCTGTGTGTCCCTCAGGTACAGTAAAACCTTTGTGCTTTCAGATACATGTCAGAATATACTTTGATTAGGGTCATCTGGGTGGCTCAGTCATTAAGTGTCTGCCTTCGGCTCAGGTCACCATCTCAGGGTCCTGGGATTGAGCCCCATGTCGAGCCCCATGGGGGAGTCTACTTCTCCCTCTCCCTTTGCCCCTCCCCCTGCTCGTGCACTCTGTCTCTCTCAAATAAATAAAATCTTAAAAAAATACATAACTTGATTATTTAGAAGACAGCCGAGGCTGTTCCTAGTTTTAAGGACTGACATTTTCCCTGCATAGCCACCTGAATTTCTTTTCACTGCTGTGATCAAGTATACATACCATGTGCCATTTTAACTGGTTTTCACTCTAAGATGTGGTGGCATTAGTGACACCAATGCTCTGCGTACTCATTACCACTGCATTTCCAAACCTTTTCCATCACCCTGAGCTAAGCTCTGCAACCATTGCGCAGAACTCCCTTGTCTCTCCTGCCCTCTGCCCCTCTAGTCTGTTTTCTGTCTTCACGAATTTGCCTGTTGTAGAAATTTCACGCAAGTGGAGTCGTACAGGCTAACTTCACCTAGTATAATGCTGTCAAGGTTCATCCATATTTTCTTTTTCTTTGTTTTTTTTAAGATTTTATTTATTTATTTGACAGAGAGAGCAAGAGAGGGAACACAAGCAGGGGGAGTGGGAGAGGGAGAATCAGGCTTCCCGCAGAGAGGGAGCCTGATGGTGGGGCTCGATCCCAGGACTCCACACTTAACAACTGAGCCACCCAGGTGCCCCTCTTTTTCTTTTTTTTAGCAAGGTTTATTGAGCGATAGCAAAGTGATAGTACAAAGCTCCGGAGGAGGGAGGGGACCCAAGAGGGTTGCCCAAGGTCCATCCATATTTTTCCATGTATCAGAACTTCATTCCTTCCTATGGCTAGGTGATATTCCCTGGCATGAATATACTGCACCTTGTTTATCTACTCATCTGTCAGTGGACATTTGGGTAGTTTCTACATGCACTTTATTTACTTGGTTACTGATTTATTGAAATTTAGTTGACATAAAATGTTACATTATCTTCAGGTATACAACATAATGGTCTATAGTTCTGTATGTTATTGCTGGGCTCATCATGGTAAGTATAATTACCATCTGTCACCACAAGGTTATTACAGTATTATTCACTATATTCCCTATGCTGCACTTTTCATTCCTGTCACTTATTTATAACTGAAAGTTTGTACCTCTTAATCACCTGCACCATTTTTGCCCCTACCCCCAAGCCCTCCCTTCTGGCAACCAACAATTTGTTCTCTGTATTTATGATTCTGTTTTTTTGTTGTTGGTTGGTTGGTTGGTTGGTTGGTTGGTTTGGTTTGTAGACTCCACATGTAAGTCAAATCATATCTGGTCTTAATCGGACTCATCGTACTTAGCATATCCTCTAGGTCCATCCATGTTGTCACAGATGGCAAGATTTCATTCTTTTTTGTGGCCGAGTATTACTACATTGTGTATATACACCACATATTCTTTATCCATTCATTGATCAATGGATACTTAGGTTGCTTCCATACTTGGCTATTGTAAACAATGCTGTGATATTGGCAGTGTATATCTTTTCAAATTAGTGTTTTTGTTTTCTTTGGGTAAATACCTAGCAGTGGAATTGCTACATCATCTGGTATTTCTATTTTTAATGTCTTGAGGAACCTCCATACTGTTTTCCAGATTGGCTGCACCAGTTTGCATTCCTCCCAGCAGTGCACAAGGGTTCCCCTTTTCTCCACATTCTTGCCAACACTTGTTGTATCTTGTCTTTCTGATCCTAGCCATTCTGACTGGTGTGAAGTGATACCTCATTGTGGTTTTGATTTGCATTTCTCTCTTGATGAGTGATACTGAGCATTCTTTCATGTTTTGTTGGCCATCTGTGTGTTTTTTGTTTTTTGTTTGGTTTTGTTTTTGGCACAATGTCTATTCAGGTACTCTGCCCATTTTTAAATCAGATTATTTGGCTTTTTGGTCTTGAGTTGTGTAAGTTCTTTATATATTTTGGATACTAATCCCTCATTGGATATGGCGTTTGCATATATCCTCTCCTGTTCTGTAGGTTGCCATGTTATTTTGTTGGTTTCCTTCACTTGCAAAAGCTTTTTATTTTGATGTAGTCCCAACAGTTTATTTTGCTTTCGTTTCCCTCATCTGTGGAGATATATCTAGAAAGGTGATGCTAAGGCCAATGTCCAAGAGTTATATTGACTATGTTTTCTTCTAGGAGTTTTATGCCTTCAGGTCTCACATTTAGGTCTTTTTAATCCATTTAGAGTTTATTTTTGTGTATATTTGGTGTGAGGAAGTTGTACAGTTTCCTTCTTTAACATGTGACTGTTCAGTTTTCCCCATCGTTTATTGAAGAGATTGCCTTTTTCCCATTGTATATTCTTGCCTCCTTTGTCATAGATCAATTAACCATATCATTGTGGGTTTATTTCTGGGCTCCCTATTTTGTTCTCTTGATCTTTGTTTTACCCACATACATTTTATAAGTCATTCGAGCTTGGGTTCTTTCATGATAGTAATCTCAAAGACAGTTCATTAAAATAATAACTGTTTTTAAATTAAAAATTATACTCTATTTAGAATTTATTTTAGGGCTAAACCTAAGTTAATATAGATATGTGGTATAAGGAAAATGATACCGTCCAGATTTAGATATTTGTATGTTTGCCAACCAGTACTTGTATTCTGAATCAAATAAAATATTCCAGTTGCAAAATATGTTGAAAACATATGATAGAATCAGTGCAGGGCTAATGTCTTATTTTGTACTTCATTTTCATGTTTTAAAAGAATTGTACCTTATTTACATGTTTCTAAACACCAAATAAACATTTATATTAATTTAAAGAATTTAGAAAGTCAGTAAAATTTTTCTCAGATTTCTGGAATATCATATTTGATTCAAACCCAAAATAAGGATTGGCAAGCAAAAAATTTCAAAGTCTTGCTGGCATCATTTTCCTTAAAATGTAATATACTTTTTGATAATAAGGGGGGACAAAACATGTCTGGTAAAAAGCTTAGAATCTATTTTCTATATCCTTACAATGTTAGGAGGATCCTTGGATCAGATTTAGATTTTCTAAGTCTAAAGTAGTCTAGAGTTAATAATGGCCCTCTTTTTTTTTTTTTTAATTGTATAAAAGGAATTTGCTGACAATTCTAAGGTACTTTCCAGGGCATATTTTTAAGAAGTAAATGATGTAATGAGAATAGAGTATTACCATATACTACCTGAATTTTCTACATACCTTTTTGCCATTTATTTTTAAAATATCTGTAAATGTGTTTGCAAATGTTTCTGCTGTTCAGCCAAAGGACTTACACAGCTTTCATTTGGTAAGCGTCCAGCGATAACATGAGTGATTGATTTTAGCAGATAACCTCATTTAACCAGTAATTTCTTTCATTAAGGCCGTGGTCCCATGGTACACAGTAAAATAACTTAGAGAACTTAAAAAAACATATGAGTCCCAGGGCTCCATGCTGGACAAGCTTTCCAGGTAAGAAACACGCAGCCAGGGTTGAGAACCGTTGTATTCAAGCCAGAACCCGGTGAGGTTGGGTGGGGTTGTGAGTGGGGAAGAAGTAGAAGGAATGAACCTCTGTCATTTCTGTCCTTTCCCTACTTATAGTAAGACAACCCAGGAGAAGAGGAAATTCAGAGATGGCTGCGAATCCAGAGGTGAAGTAGCTTTTTTCTTTTTGCCTTTGTAGACATGGACGGACTTGATTGAAACTTAAAGCGTTCCACAAAAGATGCTCTGATGGATGACAGCGGAACTCCTACAGGTAATCTGAAGATAGAGTCACAAGATGGGTGTCATCCCGGTGACGGCGTGGGAAGCATAGTGACACACTTGCCTTCTGCCTCGGATGAAAATGAAAATCAGCTGGATGGGGATGGGCATGCGTGTCTGAGCAGTGGTGCCAGCGCCATGGGCCAACCTGATGTGCTTGCCCAGGACAGTCTCAACAATAACGAGAACTGCCCGTCCAGCAGTGAGGTGGCCGTGTGCGAGAGCTTGGAAAACACTTCTTGTGAAAGCCCCCAGGATGGGCTGGCCCTCATGGGAAAGGAGAAAAAAATACCTGGAAAAAGAAGCCCAAGAGCCAAAAGAGGCACAACTAAGAAGATACCACAAGGTATTTTTAAAAGTTATTTTTTATACTCTTCTTTACCTAAAAATAAACCATCTTCTCATCTCATACTCCGTACTGTGCTGCATCTTGCCTTACTTCTCTTGATGTACTCTGCAGCTCCTTCTCCAGCAGCACATGGAGATCCAGCTGTGTGGTGTGTGACGTGCCTGACACCTTTCCAGTATTTGCTCGCATGGATGTGCTGATTATTCCGCCACTTCTTTATGGCGATTCCCAGTAATTTGCTATAATAAATGTGCTGAAATTGAAGTTACTTGTACATGTTTTCACACACGATCTTTTAAATATATATAGTCTTACTTTATAAATGAGACCATTTTCTACCAGTATCAACCCTAAAAATTTCCTTCTGTTATCACTGTGGCTTTGATCTCTCATCTGTGAGTTTTTGTGCTGGTATAGTTTTTATTTTATGTTATTTTTTATTTGAGAAAGAGAGAGCAGGGCAGAGGAAGAGGGCAAGAGAGAATCTCAAGCTGACTGCACGCTTAGTGTGGAGCCCAATGCAGGGCTCGATCTCACGACTTTTTTTTTTTTTTTTTTTTTTTTGAGAGAGAGAGGTGCTGGTCCAGTTTTAAATTCTTTACAGAATCTTTCCAACTCAGTAAGTGGATAATATGTGTTAACATATATTGATATATATTTTATATCAATGTTGCATAAGACATCTAGCTTTCGTTGTCTGTATCACTTTGGTTACAAAGTAATTCAGAGTATTTCTTTCTTCTTTTTCTTTTCCTCCCCCCCGCCCCCTGGGGTATTTCTCATTTGATATATAGTTTGGCAGTTAAAGTTTGGAGCTATGGACTTTTTCTTCCTGAATCACACAGGGCACCCTTGGGAAAAGGCAGCCTCTGGTTATTTTCCATCAGGAACATGTGGGACTGGAGAGTTCTGGCATGTCCGAGGCTGGGACTCTGTAGTGTAACACCACCTTACCTAAGCCGGCAGTCTTTGCATGAGGCTCAAGAGAACTAAGGGGACTGTCTCCTTATCTTCTGCTTCTTTGGCTGCCTAGAAATATAGGCGATCTCTCCATATCCTGTTTTTTTATTTATTTTTTTAATTTGGAGTAAAAGATGAAACTTTCCAGTTCATACAGATTTATCCTTCTTTATTCAATAAAGTGATTTGATAAGTTTTTAATGTAGCTCATAATTAGGCTTTCCATTTAACTGATCCCTTCGTCTTTGCTTTTCCTTAGTTTGCTTAAAGAAAATTAAAATTTTGAAAAGAGGTATGAGAGCCTTTTCTTAAAAGATCTAAGATAAACAGGTGATGTATGTAGTGCTATTTGTATAAAAATTGATTTATCTAATGACTATAAATCAAGAGCAATATGTGCCTCTCTAATATGTTCTGATGTTTTTAGGAACTGAGACCTAGTTGCATATGAAATGGGTCAGTCATAGCTCCTTTTATTCCTTCTTTCCATGACCTTATTTCATTTTCCCTAGGTGTGATTATATTATTTAAAGTTATTCGGTATTTATTATCCAGTGAGCAGATATGTGTAGAATTACTGTCCCCTAATGTATTTGAAATACATAATTTATAAAACTCAGGGATAGTCTTTATATAGATTAGCTTTAAAATTATTTTATATATCTTAAATAAAACGAGTTTAAAAGTGCAAGAAAACTGAACTAGGAGTTGCAAAACCTACATTCAAATCTTACTTCTGGTTTTGGTCACTTGGTGAGACTTAACCATTCTGTACTTTAGTTTTCTCAACTGTATAATGATGATGTTCATCCAAATATATCTATAAAATTCCTTTCTGAGCTATGAATTCCTTAGATTCCTGAACAGAGATGGTATGGTCTAAACTTGATTAAAGTTTGGTGATTACCTCTATATCTATATAGTTTTTTTTTTTTTATGTAAGAGGTACATTTTTATTTGTACTTTGAGTTTTGTTGTTAAATTAAAAGAACATAAGTGTGGGTGGGCAGAAGAATTTTAAGCTGGGTGGAAGGATTCCCAGGAGGGCAGAATTCTTTCTAGACCTGGAAGGACCTGGAATGGAAAGCTTTTGGATGGCCCGGGAGCTCTTCTCACTGTTCCCTGAGAGTTCACTGAAGCCTGTCCTCTCTCAGTACACACCCCATCACTAGGTCCAAGTGATCACATCTTCCTGAGATCTCTCTGGTTAGTCTGTTTCTCTCCATCTCCAGTGCCACAGTTCAACATCGTCATCTTTAGCTGGAGTAAAGCTGCCTAAAGATGTCTCCGTCCTGTTGCTCCCAAATTCATTCCCTATGTCAGAACAATCAATGCAGAGAGTCCATGCATAGGTGTCCAGACATGGGCATGGTAGTTCTTCCATTACTGTGAAATTCTAAGATCCTAAGTAAATGAAGTTTCAAAATTTTATAGATGGGTACTTTTCTAATAACAGAATAGCCTTTCAAATGCGAAATGATAGATAAAACATGATATTCAATTCCAGACCAGAAATAAGTTTGTTTTTTTTTATAGATAGGTGCTCTCACAGCACTTTTTAAAAGAAATATATTAAGGTGAATTTATTTACTCTTATGCCTCTTTATATAGTTTAATTTGTAATAATTTTTTGTATATCCAAAAGCGAGTGCCAGAAAAAGAAGTAGAGCAATATTAGGAGACATGTCATTATTTACAAGTTTAACCTTGAACTCGGCCTCACAAAAGTCCAGTTGTCATTATATTATGAGACTTTGTTTCCTTTAGAGAGTTGAATCCCTGTAATGTGCTCAACTAAGCATGGTTTCAAGATGCATTACATCAAGTTTTTACTATAGTTGAGTCTAGCATAACTTTAAGTCAATATCCTAAAAAGGAATGAAAATTAGCTGATACATTTTTAAAAGCTTGGGGCACCTGGGTGTCTCAGTCAGTTAAGCATCTGACCCTTGATTTCAGCTCAGGTCATGATCTCAGGGTCTTGAGATGGAGCCCTGTGTCGGGCTCCCCACTGGGTGTGGAGCCTGCTGGCAATTTTCCCTCACTGTCTCCCTCAGCCCTTCTCCCCCACCCGAAATTTTTTAACAGCTTTATTGAGATATTCACATACCATACGCTTCACCTACTTAATGTGTACAATTCACTGATTTTTCGTATATTCCCAAAGCTGACAGCCATTACCACCGTCAGTTTTCATCATTCATCACACAAAGAAACCCATACCTATTAGCGAAACCACGTCCCATTTACCCCAGCCCTAGGCAACCGCTAATCTACTTTCTTTCTTTATAAATTTGTCTCCTCAGGACATTTCATTTAAATGGAATCGTACAATATATGGTCTTTTATGACCGCTCCTTCACTTAGTGTAATGTTTTTATTTTTTATTTTTTTATTTTTATTTTATTTTTTTAAAGGTTTTATTTATTTATTTGACAGAGAGAGAGACAGCGAGAGAGGGACCACAAGCAGGGGGAGTGGGAGAGGGAGAAGCAGGCCTCCCGCCGAGCAGGGAGCCCGACGCGGGGCTCGACTCCAGGGTCCTGGGACCATGACCCGAGCCGAAGGCAGACACCCAACGAGTGAGCCACCCAGGTGCCCCTAGTGTAATGTTTTTAAAATTCATCCACGTTGCACCCGCACATATCAATACTTTTTTCTTTTTATTGTCCATTAGTATTCCACTGCAATGAATATATCACATTTCATATCTGTTTGTCCACTGATGGGCATTTAGACTGTTTCTACTTTTTGGCTATGCTGAATAATGCGCCTATGAACATTAGCAAAAAAGTTTTCATGTGGACATATATTTTCCCTTTTTTGGTTATGTATGCCTAGGAGTAGAATTGCTGCATCATAAATAGACACTTTGTTTAACTTCTTGAGGACCTGCTAAACTATCTTCCAAAGTGGCTACACCAGCAATGTATGGGGGTATAATTTTTCCACACCTTCGCAAACACTTGTTAATATCTGATCCTTTGATTTTTGCTATAGTCTTTTTCATTCACATGGAACTTACATGCCATAAAATTCACCTTCATGAAGTGTACAACCTCTTGGTTCTAATATATTCACATAGTTATACAACCATCACTAGTATCTAATTCTAGAACATTTTATCCCCCTCTAAAGAAATCCAGTATCCATTAGCAGTCACTCCCCATTTCTCTGTCCGCTCCCCCACCCTAGCCCCTGGCAACCATTAACCCATAAATTTTGTGTGGTTGTAAAGAGCAAGTTCAGATTAAGTATTAGATGGTTGCCATAGAACATACTTTATTTACTCAGTCAACCCATATCTAAGCATTTAATAAAACAGTTCAGCAAATGGCAGGAAGCCAGAGATAGGCAGCACATGGGAAATTGAGAAAGGAAGAACTTCCAGATTGATTTGCCACTCATATTCAATGCCCTGACTTGTTCCTCTGGCAGCCTCCAGCTCAGCGGTGACAAAAAGGGCGTCAAAGCTAGAGGAAAACAAATCTTGGAAACGCATCTGTGGCTGGAGTCAGGCTTGTACGGTGCAAAGAGCAAAGACTTTGGTTCTGCCTGTTCCTACCCATGTGACCTTAGGAAAGTAACTCATTTCCCTGAGCTTGTTCCCGTAATCTGTAGGACAGCTGATCCTACCACTTCTGCAAGATTGTCCTTAGAATGAGTGATCTTGTATGTAAAGCACTTTATCAAGTACCCAGCTTCTAAATGGTACCTGTAGTCTTTGAGTGTGTCATGGGATGATTTCTGAGTGGTGTGACCAGGAGCAACATTCAATGAAATTAAGAAATTGGTTTAATTTGACTTTAAATCCATCTTACTTCTTTTGTCACTATCTTTCTTATCTCCTGAGATCTTTTTAATACTCTCTTTTCAGGCTTAGCCGTCCCTGCCTTGCTCTGCAGAGGTATATTCTGAAAAACCTATTTCCAGTGCCTCCCTAGCTTAATGTTAGGTATCATGTGCCTGCTGGCATTTATCAATACTTTAACTGACATCTGAAGTAATAACTGTGAATGCCATAAAACTAACTGATA